CAAACGGTTAAGAAGTTAAAGTAGGTTATTGCAAAAACAATTGAACGCCCCACGCCATCTTTGTTTTTGAAATAACTGAGTTTTTGTTTTTACGAAAATGATAGATAAACTGGTTCTCTTTAAAAATGTGAAAAAAAATTTTTAGTTTATTATGCGAAATAAAGAAAATGCAATTGTAAAAACTTAAGATACCCGGTACATAAATCAGAACGTTACGAAAGGATATTAGCGAAACGATTACTTGTTGTTTCGATGTCAGCCCTCTGCGTGAGCCTAACGACAGTCGGACCGCCAGCTTACATGTCCTCCTGAAGCTAGGTAGTCAGGGAAAGTTCTTACGTCGTAGTCTTACACTAAAACGGCAAGTTGTGGGGGATTCGAACCGCGACCTGTGAGGTTAGGGTCCGAATCTTCCAACCGTTACGCCAAACATACGAAAGCATAATAAAACAAACAAAGGCAATAAGTAAGCGATGGCGACAGGGGAAAACCATTGTTGTTTTCCGGTAGATTGTTGGTTGATTAAATGACCGAAGCGATTGGTTTGCAATGACAGAAAGACGAAATTTTGCGTTGCTTGAACGATGCAGGGGATTTCATGAAATTGACGATGTGCTTTTAACATCATCTCATTTTTGACCATCTTCTCCTCCAATGTTTGTTCGACTGTGCTCATGTTCAATTCATTGCTAATTTCTATCTCGACGGCTCACGCATGACAAGTGCTCTATATATACAGGGATGGACGAAATAGTGGATAGTGTCTTCGAAAAATCACAATGGGCGTAAGACGTAGTGAGCTAATCACGTGTTCTTATTTTTCGCTAAAACTCACGATTTCGTATACCGCGGTCCCGAATTTCGAGCGAGTGATTGATTATACCGTAGCTCGGCCTTCGATGCGCTCGGCATCGTTATGAACTTGACATTGTCGTAACCGGAAAACTATACTGCTCGGAGTCTAGGTGAGCGGTCGGTTTATGGTGACATTTACCTTCGATTCGCTCGCATTTGGGTCGAACTCTTGTATTTCGTGACTGGAACCGGTTAACCGACTAACCGAGGTCGTAACACTATCATTAAGGAAGTTTGCGTGTGGGGAAAGGTGAGTAATATAATAATCAGAGTATTTACCGTAGTATTTACCATCTGACTGACTACAGTACTCTCGACAGTACTTTTCCAATTTTCTTGAAAATGAACACCTCACATTCCGAGTTATGAGGTGGTGCACCGTCTTGTTGAGACATTATTTCTCTCTACTTTCTAGCATCAGGCAAGCGCAATAACGTACATTGAACGCTAACTTCAAATACACATCAAGGGCCTCGTGGATCCTTCGCGAAAAAACACCTTAATTCTGTTTCCCTATGATGCGTTCTCCCTGGGACACACGGTCACTAAAAAAGCAAACAAATTTTTCTCGTTGGTGGCCGTAGGTATAGAAAGTCATTATACGGCGGGAAATCAAAAAATTGCCAACTTCAGAATGGCCCTATATTTTCTTACTCGTTTTCTTAGTTAAAAAATATACAGAAAAATGTTTATTGCAAAAGTTTCTTTATGATTGTTCAATAATGTACCGTTTTCAAAATAAGTAGGTATACGGGGTCAGGTAAAAAAGTTATCGGACCTAACCTCTTTTTTAGTCGAACACACATGGCACACACGGGTGTATCCTTTATTCTAAAAAGGTAGCATACTAAATTCTCTAAAAAAATAAAACAATAAAAAAATTCAATACTTATTGGTTTTTGAATTTTTAAAACATCCCTACTGTGTTGTATTTTTGAAGAGAATGTATGCTATTTTTTAGTTAAAATATACAAGATGTTCTATTTGAAAAATGAGGTTAGGTCCGGTAACTTTTTTAGTTTACCCTGCAATTTTGAAAACGGTATATTAATTCAGCAAGTACCATTGTAATAAACATTTTTCTGTGTCTCTTTTCACTAAGAAACAGGGTTTGAAAAACCCGGGTTTTTTTTAAAAACCCAAACCCACTGGGCCCAAGTGGGTTTTTTCGGGCTTTTCGGGTAAAAGTGGGCAATAGTACTTTTTCGATCGGAATTAAACAATTCGACAGTATGAAAAAAAAGGCGACGCAATATTGTGGTTGTGTTGTGGTGGTTCACTTTTACATTTTAGTATGGGTAAGAATAAGAATGCAAATTTTGAACTGTTTTGAATTGTTAACTAATAAGAACTAAACGAACTCAAATGAAAGTATCTATGTTTTATTTTTGTATTTTAAAAATTAAAAGTGATTCGTGTATAATTTGAAATATACTTTTGCCATATAAATTTATTTCAAACCAGCCCAAGTCAAAAAAACTTGTTAATTATTTCAAAATGAAAAACCGAGGGGGTAATACATGAGCAAAATGTTGTACGAAAGACTACCAGTTGCGAAAGACTACCACAGACTACCATAGGACTACCAGTGACTACCCCATGAATACCAGAGACTACCATATAAATACCAGAGACTACCAATGAATACCAGAGACTTCCAAGAATTTTTGGGCTAGCGGTTGACATATGCCGATCTCGCCAAATCGGTATTTCGTTGACCGGAACCGTATATCGGCTCGAAAATTCCGGGAGAGTGGTTGACATATAATATGCCAGTTCTCGCTCTCGGTTCGCTCGGCATTGGTATTTAACTCCGTATTTCGTGACCGGAACCGAGATTTCGATGACAGTTGATATTGCGCATTCTGCGCATGCGCACATTAATCTGATATTTACAATATGCGATACGTTTTCTTTTACCAAAAGCATCCCTGGTTAAAATGCGATCAAAACTGTTTATGGTGAAATAGTTAAAAATATCATTGACTGACTTGAATTGTGAAACATTTGTTGCGCAATCTTGTGGCTGTGGAACTTTTAGATTGCTTTTGTTTTAAGGGTTGCATCTTCTTTAATTATCCTCTTGCCTTCAAATTTATTGTCGTAATTTGAAGCTTACGTACACCGAGCTCATTCAACTATAGCTCTTCAGTAAATTATAGATCGCGTCAACATTCAACTGATTCAACCGATGTGTGGCGCGTAATTTAAAAATAGCGTCGTATAGCATTAATTGAGGCGTGTTTGAATGGCTTTAAAACAATTTAAACGTTAATAGACAAAACGAATATTTTGCCTTCTCTCATTCTGAGCTCCCTTAAAACTCTTAAATTTAGCAAAGCGACTCGCTCGATAATGTAATTAGGACAAAACCGCTGGCGAAATTAAACGCGAAAACTGAGAATATGAGCCTAATTAGAATAGGAAAGACGTAGCGTAATTCAAATCTTCCATAAAGCTTTTGTCGTAAAATGTTTAAACATGTTCTCGAGCGAGCGGTCCCGAAAAACATTTCCGGAAATTGCTCCATCGCTTTTCGATTTGAGTAAGCGCACTTAATCTCGTTCTTTTTTTTTTGTTACAGAAATTTGTCGGTACGGCGGCGGCGAGAGGTTAACTTTTGGATAACGTGTCAGCGCTGTGGGTAGCGCTTCCACCGTCAAACTGGCAGCCAGCACCCTCACCGCGATGAACCCCCATTATCATCCCTACGGAGGTCCGGAGTTGACGTCTCCGCACCCTCCGAGTCCAGACAACAATAATTATTCCGGTCATCCCGGACCGGGCGGTCCCCACGGACATCCTCATATGCACCCCAGTAATGGACACAGCATCGGACCACTTGGTAAGTTATAGCATTTCATTAAATTATGTCGGTGGCAATTTTAAATTTTCCCCATTTCGATTCATTAGATGCGATCGTACTAATTCGTTCGCTTTGCAATAAATTTACTACAGTTATAGGCGAAATTGTAGTTCCGAGTTGTGAGAATAAAACCAAAAATAAGTCAAGGTGTTCTTTGTGTATGCACAGACGTTTATAATTAATTCCCTAAACTTCTGCTTAACATCGAATCGAAATTTATTTGAAATATTCCCTAAGATCGTCAACAAAAAATTATTGTTGGAAGTGATGTCCATCCGGAAAACTATACCTACCCACCACTAAACGATCAATTCGGATGTTATTTTACGTCGTGTAGTGAAATGTAATACTGAAGAAATCTAATACAAATAAACAGCGTCTTATGATACTAAGGTCAAGTTATAAATCCATTTAAATAAATACTGACAAAGTACATACTACATTTTTAACGACTAATCTAGAAATCCAGAGAGACATCGGGGCGCCACCAGCCGCCATCGAGGCGCCATCAAGTCGATAAAAGATTTGTCACCGGGGATAAGGAATGAAAGTGAATCCGACGCATTCTTTCCTTGAAATGTGATACGCGTTCTAGAGTATTCGAGAATGTTCCGTGTTTTTTGCTAGAAACTGTTCGTTTACAAATCTTGTATTTGATATGAAAATGAAAGCAATTACAAGAAATAAACCTTTTTATAGAAAACAGGCCCGATCTTGATTCAAACATGGCATTCCAGCCCAATTTGTGGAAAATATTTGAATTATTCAATCTAATTAAAGCTTCCGAATTCCGATGTCCTATCATTATTTTAGAAGTGTTTTTTCATTTAAAAATTGAGGACTTTTTAATTCACGCGGGCTGTAAAATAATAAGGTATTCAAGTTTGAGAATTCAAGTATCTCAGAATTTTTCCAAAGTTTTAACTTTAGTGCCCTATTAGACGAGGACAACTGGCGACGGCATCGGTGGTTATTAAAATAAAATTTAGGTCCCTAATGGTCGTTTGCACCGACAAATTTAAGCGGCGCTTAGCTTAAGCGTATAAAATCCATGGCAACCATTGTCTAAATAATCGTTGCCATGGATTTTAAGCTACGCTTAAGCTAAGCTCTACTTAAATTTGTCGGTGCAAACGGCCATAAGTGATCACTGTCACAGCTAAACTGACCTTGGTCTAACTATGTTGACGTTTTCATACTCGGCACTAATACAAGTTTGTACGGGACTTAAACTCGTTAACCAAAACACTAATATGACAACTGTTGAGTCCTCAAACTAGAATTATTATCCTTTAGTTATTCCTTTGAAAGTTCCTTCCAAGAAATTATCCTAGCACGACCTGTATTTAACTATTTCGCCTGTCCCTGTATATATTCCCTGTATATATTCCCACTTGTTACTTGTGCGAAGTTAAAGTTAAGCCTGCATTTGCGCATTCATCGAATAAGAATTAGTAGTCGTACAATCATCAATAATAATGAGCGTGTATTGTTAAGAAGCAGCACGGAATTTGTACCACACCATGAATTTCGTCGTTATAATCGCCTTCGACCAAGCTGTCGTACTGTCCTGTCGCTACTACTAAAAGCAACGCCAACCGTCTATCGCATTCGTTTGTTTATTTGCGATTTTCTCCCAGAAGCGTGAAACGTATAAATCCTTGTTTAGTCCTCTGGTTTCTCTAATGTAGGCTAAAATGGGCAAGATCCCGAAAGCCTTAAAAAAAAAGATCGAATTCGAACCAAGTAAGTCCTTTCATTCTTATTCCTTTCCTAATTATGTCAATGTCTAGTACATGCATAACTCTCACCAGGAAAGATTGCCGGTCACAGCACACCTTGTGTCGATTTACAATCTTTGTTTTTATTAAGATGCGAGCGACTTCTGGCATACCATCGTGCTAATGTTGAACAAAAGGCCTTTTCGTTCAACATTGACACGATACTATTCCGGAAGTCGCTAGCACCTTACGAAAAACAGAGATTGTAGATCGAGATCAAGTGTTCTGTGACCGGCAATCTTTCCTGGCGAGAGTTATATCGTCGTATCGATCGCCAAATCAAGATTTAGAACCAATTTATTTTATTTGTATTTTTATCAATGAACACGTTAATCATTCTTGTCATTCTTTCTTTCATCCCCTTTATACAAAGGCATAGTAATGCAATTACATTTCATCGAAGCATATTCAACAACAACAATAAATAATCCAACTAATTCAACATATATAAACTTCTCCAGTTAATTTCTAATAAAATACAGATTCATACATACAATTACCGTAATATTTTATTGTTCTTTGGGCTACAAAGAAAATACAAAAGTCACAATACCTTTTTCGTCCGTATTATTTGAAAGTGGTGAGGATCTCCAGAAAATCTCTCGTAGTGTAAAATTCCCCTAGGGCAACAGCGGCGTTATTTGGTATGTGTAGTTCTTTTCTTTAACAGAAATGGAAAAAAACTCGTTATTTGTTGACAATTAAATTAAAATCCCAGATTAATTATAAATTATCAGCATTCCACCAGCACAAATGGACAAATTCGTACTGGCGTGTCAATCGTAGTTTTATACACGTGCTGTCAGTAGTCTGTCGCTATTTTACTGACGATATTATTTTTATGCTGTTAATTTCACAACTTCACCCTTACGGATATTCTCGAGTTCATAGGAATAGAATTAGTGAGAGAAAGGGGGCCGAGTTCTCTTGCAAAACATAATATTCTATTCTTGAAACTGTATGAAAGTTCCTCACATATGAAAAGTGGGAGAATACATTTCTACTGGTAATAGTCGAGAGAAAATGATTCTTGTCGGGAGAAAGATGTGTGAATTTACAGTTACTGCACGATAGTTGTTTAAACCAGTTAAAGTAAATAGTTACCGTAACCTAATGAAAAGTCGTTGAATGATTGTAAATGCTACATATTTGTATTACACGCTTTTCTGAGAGAAAAAAGAACATAACCTATTCCTATTAGTTGTAATTAAAACGTTACTTGACGTGTGATGATAGGCTAGGTACCGCCTTCCAAGGCTTCATAATTTGCCCTGGCAAATATCCATCGTTAATCTGTTTAGATTGTAGAGGAAATTGAGACACAAATACGGATCCTGAAGAAACATTTGGCGTTGTACATGTAGTAGGGCCCATAGGGCGGAGTAACAAGCCACCTATGTGAATCATCTTGAAACTTATTAAACGGCAAAACTCAGTGATACACGCTTTTTAGGGGAGTCGATGGCGTCTGTCTCGGAACACGATAACTGGCAAACTTGAATCGATTTGGTTGAAACTTTGCAGAGTTGTTCTATGTGCCCATGGTATCTCTGTCTGTCTGTCTGTCTACTTGTGAACACAATAATTTGCAAACGCTTGAATTGATTCGGTTCAAACTATGCACACATAAATACAAGGTACTGGAATGTCACGCGGAACTTCAGGGTTAATAGCTAAAAAATAAATGGGATTGTTACCCCAATATTCGCTACTGAAAATGACTTCAAAAGGTAACAAAAACTGGATTTGCAAATACAATTTAATTCCATTTCTTTCACAAATCACACACTCGGCTTGCCGAAATTACACAAGACTCTAAATTTACTGGGTTCGTAAACACACGTCACAAAATTTAAAAGCAATTACAAACACCTTAAATCTGAAATTAAACCCTATCTTTCCTCCATACTACCTAAATTAAATCTAACCTAAACAAATTTAATGTTAATCAAACATTACAGACGACAAAAAAAATGATCTTGACGTTATGTGGAGTTCTTTTTATTGAATTGAAATACTATCTTGTTAATTGTTGGCCCCTCGGTTGGCCCTAATGATCTCCAGTGCACTTTATTAAAAAAAAATACAACCCTTACCAACCAATCAAGAATGCTTTATTTGAATTCATAAGTTCATTCGACTTTGCCACAAACACATTCTTAGAACGCTGCCAGGGCAAACACTGAACAATTAAAGTTGACCTGCATATTTATACACGTGATTAACAAAAGTTCCACTCTGCTCTCAACCTTATATCTTTTTCTTCTCCTCTTTTTTTTGCTTTCTACTTCTCAACTCAGTTTTATTAGTTTATATTCAGGGCTCTAATTGTATCAGCACAATTTCCGACTAAACCGAACAAACGAAAACGAGAGACCCGTGCTGATCTGGTGTTCCCCTCGGAATTTTTTTGGCGTGATTTATTTCTGCTTTTATCTTTGAGTGGGCGGGGTTTCAGCCAAGGTTGCTCTACCAACCCAACCCACTATCCATGCCCGAACACGGACCGGCTTTAATCTAACAATTTATAAAACAACTGGAGACATATCTTTTAACCTACGTGCGTACCCATTGAATGACAATGTTGTGTAATATCATTCAATACCCGCCAAAAAAATAAAAATCACGCCCTAGTCTTCAACACAATATGCTTGGCTCTACGCAACCAGAAGTAGGATTTAATCCGAATCACATGATATGTTCGACCAAAATTGAAAATGTTGAGTTCTATTGTAACCTTAGAATTTCAAGAATTTTTGAATTGCTCAATCTAGCAAGTTGGTTAAAATGGAAGGGATCCAATTTTAAGAATTTTAATTAAGGATGTGAGAAATTTCAAAATCATTGTTTTAGATTCCTGAAAGCTTAAAATCTCGAAATTTTTTGGGTCGTTATGACTTTTTGGTCTCTAGGAAATCGAGTTTTAGAATCCTCAGAATCATTGTATTTTTGTTGAAGATGAACCTTAAAGTTTGGAATTTAAAGATTTGCTGCAATAGATGAACCAATTTACTATCCGAAATGTACTAAAACAATTGACTACGTGTCTCAAAAACCATCGCCAAAATCAACCGGAAACGTACGCCGCCACGTGACAAATTCAAAACTTGCTGTGTGTCACATACGCAGGTCGGTAAGTCGACGTCGTCTTCTGGTGGTAATAAGGTCTTAAATTTATCACAAACAACTCCACGCACTTAAACCGAAAAAAACGTGAACTTACATTGTAGTATTGTGGTCTTTCGTGCACTCATATGGGTTAAGATTCTCACAACTTGAAATTTATAGAACCTTTGTACTAAGCTACTGACCGCCAAATTTGGCACGATTGTATTGTACATACTATACACGATAATGGCACAATTGAAATATTACTTCTAATCTTTGATAGGTTTTTTATTTAAAGGACATCCCGGTGGCCCACACGATCAATTCTCACATCCGCACCATCAGCATCCGGCATTCAGCAGTGCAGGTCCACCGCCCGGAGCGCCGCACCATCCTCATAGTCTTAATAATAACAATAATAATATCAAAATATGTGGTGGTTGTGGTGGAAAAATCGTAGAACGTTTCCTTCTCCATGCACTGGATCGCTATTGGCACAACAGTTGTTTGAAATGCTCTTGCTGCGGGGCGATGTTAGCGGATATTGGCACGTCGTGCTTTACAAAAAGCGGAATGATCCTTTGTAAACACGATTATACGAGGTAAGTCCATTTACTTTTCTATTTTTGTGCGAGGTTGTGCTGCTCATAAAGACAAGTGCGGCTCGAAAGGGGTTCGCGACGCATCCCCGCCGTTTTTTTTCCGTAATGGATTTACAGAATACATACATCGATCTGCACTGCGGTTTGTTTAGAGCCGTCTAATTTATTAGCATAACTGAATACGCGCCGCGACTTGTATCGATCTGTTCATAGTTGCTCTCTCTGCGCCCTCGCCACTCAAGAGGATGAATTTTCACTGATACTTAAATAAATTTCATTTTGTTTGAAGTGGGCCATTTCAATTACGAGGAGTTTGTCATTAATTATTACATTTGCATTCAGTTAGTCGGCGAATTTTTTTTCAAGTGCCTAAAAGCTGGAGTGGTTGGTTAGTGGTTTAAACGAATTTCAACTCTAATTAACCAATTTCGTCTTAAATTAACGTTTCGTGATTGACGTTCAGACTTTTATACTTGTTATTTGGTCAAAAGATTTCAATTCAAATTGCAAAGAAGACGCACGTTAGGTTTCAGAATGTTAGGTGTTCTCACAGAAGTAAACACTTATGCACCATGTTGCTTCTACAGATGACCACCGCACTCGAGCACCATCAAGCAGTGAATTACAATTGGAACGTATCGCACGAACAGTGCGACACACAAGATGGCCGACATGAATCTTCCGGGATCAAAATGACGTCGATTACAGGCCTCGTGTGTCAACGACAGGGATAGCAATTCGGGGGATTTAAATCCAATCACTACAATGAAGAGACATAGTCATTTTTAATTAGCCGCCAGCCTTATCTTTCCATTAATTTGTCTATTTTGTCAATTGAGTGCATTGCGGACTATTAACTAAAAGTAATACACGATCATACCTTTTATCTTGAATAAAGTCAACCCGGCAACGTTTAAAAATGGCCACCCGAATGACTATTCCCTCCAAAACTAAACAAGATCTCGCTTAAATTTGAAAAGTGGCACGTGATAAAACATCTAAGGCAGGACCCCCCTACGTTAGTTGTAAACAACGCTTTGACCTGAAGCACAGTAGGGAAGGAACGTAAAATAAAACACTGAAATTGTGAAAAGTTTGTTTAATAATGGTCGCAAATGTTAAGATTGTGAAAACCCGGAAATTTAGTTGATGTACATTAATGTAAGCAAAACCAGCAACGCCAAAAGGTGCAAGGTCTTTTTGTTAAAAGCAAGATGGAAAATTACTGTAGGCAAATTCAACTATCGTCAGAAGTATGTGGAACTTAGCGAATCGTAACTCATTTATCGCACATAGATTCTAAACCGAAGAGTTTTGATTAGCACAATCTCGCCCCCGCAAGATAGGTAACTTCGCCCCTCGTTCGGGGTTTCGAGCCTACATGAATGTCATTCTAACATGCTTACAGGGCTAGTATGTATACGGAGACGGCTCTTCACAGCCTCGTGTGCAGGCTTGAGAAGTGGGGGTAGCTCTGGGAGCGTTTCTAGATATCAAGGGTGCGTTTAACAACACCACGTTCGATGCAATTAGTAAGGGTGCTGAAAGCTTTGGCATTGATGGGTCAATCGTAAGATGGATTCGCGCCATGTTCGGAACGCAGTCATTATATGCTCAATCGGAACGACGGAGATGAGCCCATCGGTTACTAGACCGTGAAAGAACTTGTGTAGGGGGCTCTTATGAAAGTTGATAACTGGTGCAGTAGCCATGGCTTCTCCGTTAACCAAAAAAGACCGAGGTTGTTCCATTTACGAACAGAAGGGGAGCGAACATTGATGGGGACGTCAGCTGAGTCTAATCAGGTCAGTGAAATATTTGGAAGTCATCATGGACTCCCACCTGACCTGGAAAGGGCACATTGAGCGAATAAGTAAAGGCCACTGCATGTGGAAGGGGTTTTGCTTGTACATGGAGTTTGAACCCTCGATTGGTATATTGGTTCTACATTGTAGTGATAAGATCAACAATACTGTATGGTGGACTTGAATGATAGCTTGTCATGTGCCTACAGGAAGCAGATAGGAAATGTTCAGAGACCCGCCTATCTGAGAGTCACTGGAGCCATGAAAATCACGATTTTTGGAACTAGAGCCTTTACACTTCGCTGTGTAGGCAGAGACTCGAAAGGCTTCCTTACGGCTAAACGATTGGGCCGAGTGGAAGGATCGAGGCAGCCGTGGACACAAGCGGATCTGGGAGGAAACCCTCAGATCCGATCCCCTCCTCGCAAAAAGGGATGTGATCCGGGCTGTCTTAATAAGACCGAAGAGTTATAGGTCACTCTCCCGGACAGGGAACAGTGGCTGAACTCAGATTTCCCGTTCATCAAGCTTGAGGGACTCGTGTGGTTTACAGACGGGTCCCTAACGGAAAGAGGAACGGGATATATCAAAATATTCCGGTCGGTTTCTGCGCTTGATTGTAGTGTAGATGAACTCTGCATAGGTTAGGTGAGTCTAATAGGGTAACCTTGATCTGGGTGCCAGCACACTGCGAAATAGGGGGGGGGGGGGGGGGACAAAAGCGCGGACGAACTGGCTCGTGAAGCTAGTGGTGGGGCTTCGTCGGGTCCGAGCGTACCGTAGGAATTAAAGACTGGGTGATCTAGTCATTTCCAGGCTCAGTGGCAACAAGCAACCGGACAGTTCAGGGCCTTTTTAATAGGGCTTCTTGGAAAATGTGGGTCTGAAAAGAAGCCAGATTAGGAAGATCACATGAGGCAGGGGAAAGTACCGAACATGTCGTCTGTCACTGTGACGCCTTGATCAGAGACAGACAGCTCCTTGGCGGCAATTATCTGGAACTAAGGAGGGCGGAGCAACTTGTGCTAAACACGGTTCTATCCTTTATTGAGAAGAACGGGCTGTGAACCTAGTTGCAAGAGAAAGGGGTTGGCACAATAGGCCTTTGGTGTGCCTAGTGCTGCCTGGTCGGGCTCGCCTGTTAATAGAATATATTGTTCTGGTAGACATTTGCAACATTTTTTCAACAGTTACCCTATGTCAGAAATATCTCCCCTAATATTATAGTTTTTTGATACAGAAATTCTTGAAAGTACTAAAGGAAGTTTGCGAAGTTGAAAATTTAATTCTTACTTGTCTCTTCTCCTGTTCTATGCGAAATTTTGGACACGAGTACTCTACCATACGTTTACTAAACTCCTAAGCTTGAACCCGGATTGGCATCAAGGACTCTTTTGAGAGAGAAGCTCTCCTCAAACAAATTTACGGAAGCTCACCCTTTGGAGCAACTGCTGCACAATCCTGATACTAGTTTCTTCTATTTTGTGTCAAGGCTAATTAATTAATGTTCCGTACAATGTGTTTTGCTGTTTCACCGACGAAATCGGTGAATAATTGCAGATTTTGCTCTACCAACTAACCAAAATGAAAATGACGGAAGGAGCACAAAACCTAGTTCCTGTGGATTAAATCAATTCTCGAAGAATTTGGTGAATATTGAAAATTTTGTCTAAATTTTGGCATCATCCCGAAATATTTCCTGTCGCGCTAATGGGGGATACAATATCTCACACCGATGGACGGAAAAACGCCCATAATAATAGCACATTTTATCTCTTGAAAAATCCGCTGCAAATGTCTGCTCTAAGCCCGTTCCTGAAGAAGTCTTCGACCAAAATGTATGGGTAAAATGTTAATTTAATGTACAAAAATCAAATTTGGATATATTATTTTTGGTCAAAGTTCTCCAATACGCCAATAATATTTTAGTATGCTGTACTAAATTTGTACAGTCCTCGGTAGTATAGTGGTCAGTATCCCCGCCTGTCACGCGGGAGACCGGGGTTCGATTCCCCGCCGGGGAGGATTTTTTAAACAATTTATTCTACATAAGTCATACCATTCAACTCAAGCATCAGCATTCAATTCAATTCACCAAGGCGTTTCAAGGCACCGCACGTGGTATTAGGAATATTTAAAAAGTTGAACCGTTTTTTTTTGTTTTTCGCAATATCTTGAACCATTGATTTTACAGAAAATATTGACTATATCAAATATATGTCACAGTTCGATCTCAAAGGTAGTTAATATCACTCGAGATAAAAAGTTATGAAAATTGTTTACTAATATATGTCAATATTGACAATATATGTATATAGCAATAATAATAGCGATATCCTTTGGTCGTCCAAACTAGAAGTACTGATTGATCAACAACTAAGTAAGTGTCATTGTCTTAAAAAATATTATTTGTGCTCAATCGACCGCTTCAACATGACAAACTTTTGTAAGTCTATTCACCTAAATTTCACGGTATTTCCGTATTCACAACAATACATATTGCAATTCAACTTTATTGAAGGTCACGCAGTTTTAATCTTCATGCGTTAAAATTTCCAGTATTGTTCGTATTCAACGTAATAGTTTCTAACCCATGAATTGTCATTTGTGGAATGAGGGGCACTAAAAACTTTTAATTCTTAATTTTACGCGTTTGTTTTTTATGCACACAAACTTCGCTACCGTAGGCGCACGTAATTTTGTTCCGCAAATAATATACACTCGCGATTATTAGAGTTATCCTACTATAAAAACCACCCTGCGATAGATACAGGTGGTTACCTGTGACAGGAATCGGCCCTTAATATGAGAATTAGCATCTACAGAGTAAGAAACTCAAGTATCTATACAATTAAGATGTAAGGAGTGAAAAGTAACCCCTAACGATGTACTATAGGGATGATTCATTTCGTTAAAAATATGTGAGTACAGAAGACGAATCAAATGTATAAAGAAGATTAAATTTTGTATATTTTTTGCTGTATATGAATGGTTTTAATTGTTGGCTCAGGATAAATAAATTAAACGGCGCAAACGGCTTTTATTCGTGGACCATTTGTGTGTCGAATTAGAATTTATGCGGTTTCCCTTAATTCTTCTTTAGAGACCTTACGCGATCTTAGCGATACAAACATAAATTTAACGCCATTATTATGCAAAATTGTGGATTACGAACTTCAGTTTATAAATTCTCGCGTAA